GGCTGCTGCTCACAGCGCTGGAGCCGGGTGCAAATCCGTTGTAACTTCTCTCTCCGGCAAACTGTCTGCCCCTGCGCGGGTTGAAATGCAGATCTGGGAGCTTAAAGGTAGGCAGAGGTGTTGCTGAGAAGTTACAAGCTGTCATCTCCTTTAGTTGGTGGACTTCCTCCCTGGAGTGAGAGTGGGAATGCTGTTGCCGCCTGCTGCCTTCCACTTCATCACCAGTTTGTGTTTCTCGGCATCCCAAGATGTGTTTAGGGAACCGGCGTTGTGATGAGATCCGCTTTTGTCAGTCTCCCGAGCAGGGTTAACTCCGTCAGAAAGGACCACTGGTCAGGCAGTGCCTCCTCCGTGTACGTGAAGTGCTGGATACTGCTCAGCTCTCTGTGCTGGAGGATGATTTTCGTGACCTGCGATATGCAGGAGGCAAAGTAGTTCGTTTGTTTGTTTTTCTCCAGGGAATTCATGCCATTTTTCATATGGTGTCATTTTGAAAACCAAATACTGCAGGCTTTTTTACAACTTGCAGTTTCGTGTGGGATTCCATATGCCTTTTACACGTCTGAACAACAATGTCATGAGCTCCGCAGTAACTTCCATGTGCTCCTTCCTGTGTACATTTTCATCCTTGACATTGTGTTATATGATAGTTTCATTGTAAGGCTGTTTTGCACATTATTTAGAATTTGGATGTAGGGTAAACTTTTATTAACCTTCAGGTTAGTTCAGTGTAAGCTGACTGTTTGCTTTTGCTGCAGTTCAGGGTTATGATGAAAGCTAAGCCTTCCTACTCCAGTTGTGGTTACAGTGGTCAGTCTTGACTGTTTAATAATAAAGCATGATTTTTTTTTTTCGCTTTAAAAGCTTTTGCTGAAGTAACTATGCTGTTACGTATATTTTATAACTTGCATAGACAGTTATGCCAGCAAAAGCCCCAATACTGATGCAATTTTATCTGTTTAAAAACAAAAAAAAGTAGTAGTTTGGTAACACAAGACCAAATATAAGATGTAGCAGTTTTAACTTTGCTAGCAATTAACTTCTTAGTTTAGATGATGTGTGGGTTGTAACTTAGCACTTAAATTGTGGGGTGGCTTTCAGGAGTCAAAACTTTCATAGAATCATAGAATGGCCACCTAGATCCAACCCCCATGCCATAAGCAGGGACACCTTGTACCAGACCAGGTTGCTCAGAGCTCCGTCCAACCTGGCCTTGAACACTGCCAGGGAGGGGGCAGCCACAGCTTCTCTGAGCAGCCTGGGCCAGGGCCTCACCACCCTCAGAGTAAAGAATTTCTTCCTTATATCCAGTCTAAACCTACCCTCTTTCAGCTTGAAGCCATTACCCCTTGTCCTACCACTCCATGCCCGTGTCGGAAGTCCCTCTCCAGCTTTCTTGCAGGCCCCTTCAGCTACTGGAAAGCTGCTCTAAGGTCTCCCCGGAGCCTTCTCTTCTCCAGGCTGAACAGCTGTACTGCTGAGCTCATAAAAAGTAAAATTACAAGCAGCGTGAACTGTTTGCGTGTTTGCAGTTGTTCCCTTTATAGCATCTTTCCTTTTTAGCAGACTTTGAAGTGGGTTTATTCTCATAGGCTCTGCATATATCAAGTTCTGTGTAATTTTTGGTGGGTTTTATCCTGGTGTGAATGCATTGTAGTAGGTATTCTCTGTATTTCTTCATTACATCTGTTTTACAATAACTTGGTCATTTGAGATGTTGCAACTCTTATTTCTTATGAATGTTTTGTAAGCGGTAGCAATCTTCTTGACCAGTACTTGTGGTTAGCCACACGTTTGTAGCATACTCTCCTAAGTATTCCTATTCTGATGCGCTGTAAATTGCGGGAACCTAACTGCAAATTGTGTTTGTGTAAAAAATGGCTGTGGTGTAACTGAGGGCTCTCAGTGTGCTCAGGCTGTTAGCAGCATGGAAGAAAATCCTGAAGCAGTGCTTTGAAAATGAAGCCCTTCGCCAAAGTCCTCAATGTTTAACAATGCCATGCGGTGCACTTTGCATTGCACTTTGCATCGCAACACTTGTGTCTTGCATGGGGTTCGAAATCTGGTTTTTGTAGCTTAATTTAGACACCAGTTGTTCGTAGTTCTGTGAAAATAAGTTCACAGTTGTGGACTGCTTCCCGAGGTCCGTCATTTGGTATCTCATCGCCGGTTCAACTCAAAAGTAAATATTGACTCAAGTGTAAAGATTAACACTGTCCTGTAGTGTAACTAGAGATCAATGTGTAATAAAAATAAAATGTATGTTTTGCAGGTTCAAGAAAACTCCCCAGCTCAACAAGGAGGACTGGAACCTTTCTTTGATTTCATCATTGCCATAGGACACACGAGACTTGTAAGCTGCAAATGATTTCACTGGGGTTTTTTGTGTCCCTGCATGAAATGCGGGTATTGTAATGATGAAAGGTAGAAGCCGAAGCTGTCACAGTAAGGGAAGCTTTTCATGTTGGACATCGTATGTAGCATTAATAAAGTAAAACAAAACTTGGTGGTATTAAAAGTCTCCTCTCTGCCTGGATCCAAATTTGAGGAAAGACTTATTTAGGCCTTTAAGTCACCTTAAGTTCTTAACAGAGTAACACAATGTTTATGATATTACTCATTCATGCATATTTTCTGCCCCGAGGTGAATATTGAACTGGTGAGTCAATGGTAAGAGCTCAACATTTGTATAAACAAACTTAATTCAACATTTGATAAAACATGAAAAAGAATCACGGCCTGTTTGCTTATACTTTATACTGGGAACACAGTTCCTGTATGGTGAGTTATGAAAGAAGAGTTGAGTTTTGGTTTGGTGGTTTTTTGGTTTAAAAGGCTGGCAGCTTTGGCTGTATGCTTCATCCCAGCTCCATGCAACTTGTCTTGCTTTTGTTAGTGGAGGTGTCTTTGTGGAAATGATCCTTACAATGGTGGAAGACCACAGGCAATCTTTTACCATGACCGAAACAATGATAGTTCTCTAAGCTGTTCCCAGATAGTCTGTCCTTTCACAGTCAGTTTGCAATGACTGTGAAGGGTTATTGAGTAAGGATGGGGAGGTATGATGTAAAATGTTATTGCTTACTGTTAGACTAAATAGCTGAGATCTAATATTGCTGCTGTTATTCCATAACAGTTATGAAGAACAGGAATGTAAGTGATGAAGCGGAGTAATAGTAATTACTTCTTTCTAATAAAAGAAAATTGAAGGGCTGGGACTCATCATGAAACACAGAGCCTAAACTGACAGTTTTGGTTCTTTTTATTCAAATTCTGCCTCAGGTGTGATGACTATGTTACAGGTGCAACTAGAAATAATGTTAATCATATATCTTTCTCTGTGCTCTACAGAATAAAGAAAACAGTATGTTGAAAGATCTGCTGAAGGCAAATGCTGAAAAAGCAGTGAAGCTGGAGGTGTATAACATCAAAACAATGAAAATAAGAGAGGTGGAGGTGATCCCCAGTAACATGTGGGGAGGACAAGGTCTTCTCGGAGCCAGTGTGAGGTTCTGCAGTTTCCAGGGAGCCAGTGAACACGTGTGGCATGTTTTGGTGAGACAGAATTCTTTGGTGGCTCGTTAGCATTTGTACCACCTTGTTGTAAAGTGTGCTGTTTAGAAGTAACTTGTATGTAGCAGTACAATGCTGAAATCACACAGAAGAAGGGAACACAATCTTGAAAGTTTGTCTGAGCTATTTGAATAGGGATAGGCAGTGGGTGACTGTTAGTGTTGCGTGTCATGGTGAAGAAAAATCACTCCATCCCAACCAGACCAAATAGTTTGTGATGGGGAGAAAATTTTTTTTTGTCTTATTTGAAGAATCAATGGCAAAAGCAAAAAAGATTCTGGCTCAATAGGTGTCTCTGTGTTGGCTGAACTTTATCAAAGGAATACTGATGTTATAAAAAGCAGCAAAAAATTATTTTAGAATTAATAGGGAGAGCTGAAAGAGTAGAACAGAATGGGAAAGTGTTTCTGATTGTTTAAATACATGCAACTTTTCAACATCTTCAGAGTATCTAGTTTGGAATTGGTAGTATCTTGGTCTTTCTTATTCAGCATGTTTTACAAAATGTCACACATAGATGTAGAAGGACTTCTATTTCGTCTCATAAATAAAATGTTCTTTCCTCCTGTTGCTTTTGGAGTTAGATTTCCTTTCTTATCTTGGGATGGTTTGTCCTGCTGCGAGTGCAGATGACACGTGTCGTTCTTTCACAGGATGTTGAACCTGCATCTCCTGCAGCTCTAGCTGGTCTCCAGCCATACATGGACTACATTGTTGGATCTGATCAGATTCTTCAGGAGGTAGGGAGCGTGTCCCTTCAAGTAGCGATTGTCTTCATGCCTGACAAGTGTGTGTATGTTGTAGGGGCTGTTTTGGGTTTTTTTTATAATTAATTAGATTTATAAATCTAATGTGTGTACACCAAATGTATGGGGATAGGTTTTTTTGGATTTTGGGAGGTTGATGATTATGCCAGATGCTTTATGGTTGAGGTAAACATTATCTTTTTTTAATGTGACAATAAAAAAAACAACCTTGCCCCTAAAGCTCAAACTACACTAGTGAGATTGTCTCTCAGTTTTTAATATCTCACGTTGAAGTAAATAGCTACATAAAATGCTAACTTGCTTCCAGCTCCTTGTCTTCCACATTTGAGTTTAGTAACTGCTACTTTCTTTTTTTCTTAGTCAGAGGATTTCTTTTCACTGATTGAATCCCATGAGGGGAAGCCGCTGAAGCTGATGGTTTATAACACTGAAGCAGATTCCATCCGAGAGGTAGTTGTGACTCCCAATGGAGCTTGGGGTGGAGAAGGAAGGTACTGATCTCCGGACAGTCATTGCCTGATGGCAGGTTATATACTCACTGTAAACGAGCTCCTCTTAAGAGTATTATTGTTATTATTACTACTATTGATTCCAGGTTGTTGTTTTCAAGTTAAGCCTTGTTTCCTTACATTTGTCACACAAAACTGCTCATTTTTCCATAAAAAAAACTGGCTTAGAACTAGGAATTAGGCATGTTCTGATCTAACCCTGTTTGAGTTGAAACCAGTGGCAAAACCTGTGTTGACTTCCCTGCTAGCAGATTCACTAGCTACGTTCTCATAGTCAAACATTCAGTTAAAGCAAGAACAAAATCCACATCAGGTGAGATTGTGTATTTTGTAAAGACATAATCAACTGAAAGCTAAGCTGTGTGTGTCTGAAGTGTCAGTTGCAGAGTGCTCCTTGAGTACTCTAAGTGAAGGGATTCTTGCAGGTAGGTATTTCTTGCCAGAGTTTAAAGACTCGAACTCTTCTTGTTTTAAACAGTCAAAATTTAAAACACTTAGTAGCTTTGTTAAGAACATTTTTTTTAAGTCTTGTTTTCCTTTTCTTGTACAGTTTAGGATGTGGTATTGGATATGGCTATTTGCACAGAATTCCAACGCAGTCTATAGCATCGAAGAAAAAGCCACAAAGCAAACCACCTTCGCCCTTACCAGAGGCTGGAACTCCTGTATCGTCTACTAATGGTTACACAGAGGTGTGTGTGTACGAATTCAGTTCGTATCTCTGGCATGTTCTCTGGAGTTTCAAAATTTTCTACTTGTTGGAGCATTCGTAGTACAGTATATTTGAGTACAGTGTACAGTTTTGCTTGAATGCAATGGAGTTAGGTGAAGGGAAGGTGAGAGCTGATGATGCTGAGCAGATGGCAGATCACCACTGGTGGCTGATGAAAATTTCTGCCAGTTATTTCCTTCCTGTTTTGAAGACTTGCATGTTACAACTGTATCAGTTATTGAGAGTCACATCAGAAGAATACCCTGCTCACTAGGAAATAAAATACACCTACAAGAATTAGATATAGACCATTCTTCTAAGAACATATTGGCTTTAAAAGGCTACATTAGAACCTGTCCTGATCAGTGGCTTGACTGTCAGTTCTGGCATCATAGCTTCTCTCTGGACTGCTGTACTTGGAGACCGAGGCAGAATCCTTTCAGAGGAAGGCTGTCTTCCTCAGGTGAACCTTTCAATAGAAAGGTGAACCTTTCAATATAAAGGTGAAGCTTTCAATATAAAAAGATGCTTTTCCTTCTTCCTGTGTTATTCCAGACTCCATTACTGGCACCTGCTTCTCAGAGCGACAGCTCCGAGATAGTGATGAGCTTGGATCATTCCACAGACCAAGAAATGAGTGGCTATTCACCAGAAAGCTCGCTTTCTCCTCCTCCCCCCCTCCAGAGAGTTATGGATCCAGGTATATCTTCTTAGGTGCTTTTTTCAGCAATTCTTTATGAGGACATCTAAGTAAACTAATAAAGTCTTACACAAGTTTGAGACTTATAAGCAGAACTATGAGCATTGGTGGTGGTTCTCCTTAAAAGTTTTTGACTTTGGTGGATTTCAGAGCTGTAGAATTTGGGTACTGGGAGCCTGGCTGAGGTTAACATTCTGCAGAACTCTTTCCACTGATATCTGCTAACATTTAGGTTAAATTTATTTGCATTTAGCGGGGAGGGGACTTTGCTGATTTCAGTCCTGATATAACATGTCTTTTTGAATCTAGAATTTTGTGTTATATCTAAAACAGTACCGTAATATTTGCTTTCTCCTTCAGGATTTCTAGATATGTCTGGTATTGCATTTCCTGATCTCACTACCTTAACAAAAGAGTCCAACGTGTCTTCATCTGCCTCCTTCAACATGCCAGCAGTGGATGCCTTAGTAGGCACTGAAAAGTTAACGTCGAACAATGACGCTTCTGCTTATTTTGGTAAGTGTATTCAAGGTTTCCTTTAGGCCTCTGACCTGATTTCTGGAATGGCACCAACTCATGCCTGCT